TGTGGAGCATGTATCCAGGCCACAGCCACTATTTTTCAGAAAGGGAGCCTGAAGAACTGAGTCAAACTGAGATGATGAGAGATGAAATTCTAGACCTACTGGGGAAACTCAAATGTGAGATTGCTGATCTACTAACCAGTATATGTAACTTACCACTAAAATCAGCCACTGTACCAGAAGACTGGAGAGTGGTAAATGTTACACTGATTTTTAAAAAGAGGCCCAAAGGGGAACCAGGAAATTACAGGCCAGTTAGCTTAATGCCTGTCCCAGGCATATTAGTAGAAACTGTAACCAAAGATAAAATTTTTAGGCACTTAGAGGAACAAAGCCCAAAGACAGGAAATCAGCATGTCTTCTACTAAAGGAAGTCCTGCCTCACCAACTGTGTGGTGTTCTTTGAGAAAGTGAAGAAACATGTAGATCCAAGGTGACCTGGTAGACGTTATTTACTTGGACTTTCAAAAGACTTCTGACAAGATATCCCACCAAAGAAGAAGAAGAAAAGAGACTGGATTTATATTCTGCCATTCACTACGCGAAGGAGTCTCAGAGCGGCTTACAAACTCCTTTCCCTTCCCCTCCCTACAACAGACACCCTCTGAGGTAGGTGGGGCTGAGAGAACTCTGACAGAAACTGCTCTTTTTTTCAAGAACAGCTGTGCCAGAACTATGGCTTGCACAAGGTCATCCAGCAGGTGCAAGTGGAGGAGTGGGGAATCAAACCTGGTTCTCCCAGATTAGAGTTGGTGCACTTAAGCACTACACCAAACACTCCTGCATAACACCTTAGCAGTCATGGGATAAGAGAACTGGTCCTCTTATGGATTAAAAATTGGTTAAACAACAGAAATCTGAGAGTAGAAATAAATGAACAGTTCTCTCATGGAGGGAAGTAAGTAGTGGGTAACATTTTTAATGGTACCCCATTCTCTGCAAATAAACAATTCTAGGAGAAAGGCTCAAGTGTAGCCTTTTACTTTTAGGTATATCCATTCTACCACATCAGCACTCTGCACCAGAAGAAGAGGAAGAGGAGGAGGAGGAAGAGGAAGAAGAGGAGGAGATTGGATTTATACCCTGTCCTTCACTCAGAGACTCAGAGCAGTTTACAAACTCCTTTCCCTTCCCCTTCCCACACCAGACACCCTGTGAGGTAGGTGGGGCTGAGAGAGCTCTGACAGAAACTGCTCTTTTTCAAGGACAGTTCTTGTCAGAACTATGGCTTGCCCAAGGTCATCCAGCAGCTGCAAGTGGAGGAGTGGGGAATCAAGCCCAGTCCTTCCAGGTTAGAGTCCAGGCACCTCATTCTGTGTAGACCAGGCTGAAAGATCACAGGAAAAACAGCCAGTAGTGCAGCCAGTGAACCTCAGTGTGCTCTACCCTGTGACCATAGGGGTCTCTGTAAAATGCAAGTCCTACATGTGCATGTCACCCACCCCAATGAAACTTGTATTACACAAGTATCTTCTGTGACACATTAAGAGGCAGGAATCATTATTTCAGGCAAGGGAAAAGGGCTTGATAGTTTTCTGGGTATCTTCCCATATTATGCTTTATAACATCATTTGTAGGGTTGTCGTGTCCCCTTGGCTTGCCGGCAGGGGGATTTGAGGGGTGTTCCAGGGGTGGGAAGTAAGTAGTGGGGTGCCACAAGGATCAGTACTGGTGCTATTTAATTTGTTCATAAACAGAACTGGGGGTGAACTGTGTACTGACCAGTTTTGCAGATGACACAAAATTAATCTGGATGGTAAAACCCAAGTCCAACTGTGAAGAGCTTCAGGAGGAATTCCACAAATTGGGTGAGTAGGCAATGTGGCAAATGAAGTTCCATGTCAGTAAGTGTAAGGTGATGCACACTGGAACAAACCATCCCAACTGTAAATACATGCAAATGAGGTCTGAACTTGAGCAACAGACAGACAGAGAGGGCTAGAGACTTTAGGGTTGCAATGGCTCAATGAGAATGTTAACCCAGTGTGCTGCAGCAGTGAAAAAGGCAAACTCTATGCTGGGGATTATTAGGAAAGGGATTGAAAGTAAAACAGCTGATATTATAATGTTCCCATGTAGATCTATGATGTGGCCTCATTTAGAACACTGTGTGCAGTTCTGGTCATATGATGACCACGAATGCAAACTGTCTATAGCTCTGAACCTCAACAAATATTTCTTGTTTGACTCAAGGAACATCTTTGCAGTGAAGGATTCATGAGGTGAGTTTGCTCCCCTCACATTCTATAGTCACACTACTCAGAAGTGCTATGGATCTATTTATTTATTTATTTAGATTGATTTCTACCTAGCCTTTTGATCCAGAAGAATCCCCAAGGTGCCTTACACAGAATAATAAAATGCAACTGGTTTGGAGATGCTTCCATCTCCTCTAACATAGCAAACAAGCTGGGGTGACATCCCACCCAATTCCTGCTATTTCATTTAAGCCCTTCCGGCTGTTTCCATGCCCTTTCATCAAGTCTTACTCCTCTGACTGATTACAATTGGATGGCCTGTCGTCAGGCTGTTTTTTATTGCCTTCCCTCATGATGAGTGGTCTTTTTACTGCCTCAAGGCAGAGAGAAAAAAGCCGTATGGGGGGAGGCAGCCTTGCCTCAGGTGAAGTGCTGAGTGACGGCACTTGATCTCCAATATATCATGGACCCTAATATCTCAGAAGATTTGGGGTGACTCTCCTTTGTGCCTACATGTTTCTTACATAGAGCCTTCCCGGCATTTGCCGGCACAGTATTACCACCAAATGTTCATATTTCCTTTTCTCAGCTCCAATGGTTACAATAAATGAAACCCACAGAGTTGTCAGACCCTCAGAATTGAATTCCAAACTCTCTCACTTTTCCATTTATACTATAAGCACAGGTATTTGTAGCATATATTGTCCCTTACTGCTTAATAAAAAAAAAATGTCCAATAAAAAGTTATGGTCTGTAAATGAAGTTTGTGAGCTTTCACTGAAATACCAGGATTTTTTTTAGAAAGCTGATACTAGTGTAGCTTTATACCTCTAACTGTAAATTCTCTGTAATTTTAACAATCCTTTGGTATAATCAACTGGTACAAATATGGCAGCATGGCACGATACAGTGCAATCCTATGCAGAGTTACTCCAGTCTAAGTCCACTGCAGTCAATAGCTGGAGGAACTCTGCACAGCATTACACTGTGAGCCAATCAGAGTTTGAGTATCACATTCTTCTTTCAAAACTGGCTGAGAAATGTATACAGTTATTTTCTGACCCACACCCCACAAAAGCTTAGAAACTGTCTAGGATGAAAACCCCCATCATCCCTATTATTTACATTAGTCTCAAAAATGACTCCATTGATATCTGTGTTTTCAGTTACATTTGCTTCTCTTTAAAGTAAGAAACAATCCAGAGATGTTTTGTCCAAACTGAAAATTATGAAAGTCTCAGGGTGATACAGGAAGGCTTCTGAAAGTCAGGAAGTGCAACAACAGCTAAATGTTTAACATGACACCTTAATCCCCCCCCCCCTTTGCATCATACTTGTGGTTAATCTTTAATTCCATGACTGCATGTTCATGATCCATCTATTTGAATTACAATGAGTATGTTATCTTCTGCACCTTAGGCTCACGTTTTCTTTTTAAAGCAAGGGAAAGTCTGGGAGGCTTCTCTTCAAAAGTGCAAATTGGATTTCAGCTGCTCCCAATTTGGTTTTCTTCCACCTATCTCATTTCCTGCTTTGGCTGTGGTTTACTTAGGTATTGCTTCTGGCTGTAATCTGAAGAGCCCTAAAGAGCCGTGTGCATTTGTGTTGGAGATTTCCCCTGAAACACCTGGGAACTGTCGAATATAATTGTTTGCAGCTGGTACTGCATGAACGGTAAGCATGTAAAGTATATGTAGGTGTAGGCAGAGGAGGGTAGATGGGCAGTGATTACTCACTGGCCAAGATTGCTGCCTTGCTATTTTATTATCCTATTAACTTTCCTAATACAGGTTATAAAGGCTTGTTTGCTGCTTTTTTGCAAGAGCTCAGTTTGCATTCTGGGAAGAATCTGAATATGATATGTTTACTAAACAGCTGATGAAAAGTCATCTGCTTATATTTCACTGTGACTAATGAAGCTATACATTTTTAAAGGTGGAAGTTTTTAAAAATGGCAATTTGTAGATTGAAGAAAATAAAACGGCTTGTTTGTGGATTCCCAACAGGACCCTGTATTTGCCTGTCAATCAAACAAAAGCAGGCATCCAAGCAGTTACTCTCCATAGTAATTTATGATGAATTTCCATCCCTGGTGAGCTAAAGTGTACTTTTCAATCATTTTAGGGAGGGCCATTTGCAGAAAGACTGACAAGGCTATAAAGTAAATAAGTAGATTAAGCACAGATGACAAAAACTTCTATATGGCCTGGCTCTTCCATTTCTGGAACTATTTATTGGTTTAAAATAATACTAAATTCTGCAAAGTTGCTCAAATGCCCAAACTAGACAAAAGCCAGGAGACCCAATTATCGGAGGCTGAGGATTTTCTCCAGTGCTTTTTGAATCCTTCCTTTCTCCTGGGGTTCTTGATCTGCTCTACTGAACATCACTGAAAGAAATCTCCATTCTGATATAAGCTTGAACTTTTCCTAGAATGGCGCTTGCTTTTGCTTTAAGCTCCCAGGTGATATGTGCATAAGCACTATTCTCTATATTCCACATTTTCAGGTCAAGATACTTCTGGCTAAAACTTCTAAAGTCAAGGCAGCCTTCTACAGCTTCCTCAGTATCAACCCCTGTTTCCCACTCAAAAGATCTCACTTTTCTTGTCCATTTCCACTGTCTTTCCCCCATATGTCTTCCACTTCTGCCTCTGAATCCAGTCACTTTGTTTCATGACCTCTCCACATTGGACTGCAAACAATATTCCATTTCCCAATCAAGTTCAAAAGAAAACATCTGTATGAGGTTCCATCAACCTTCCCAGCCTGTCCCCAACTGTCCAGAGGCATCTTATACACTCACCTCGACCAGTGCTATAGTGCTGTAACTTATCACTATACACTGCCTCTTTACTGTAAGCTCGCTTCCTGGGAAAACAAAGTAAAAATGAGTTCAGTCAGTGTCCACATAATATACTTTTACACAGACCTTATTGCTGCAATACCATAATGCTTGTCTACAGTATTATAAACTGATATGGTATTCATTCAAAAGCCTTTGTATCTAATTCTAATAACAAATTGTTATTCTGTATTTAGTCAACCTGTGCCAGAAAGGTGCTCTGCAGAATCTGCCAGCATTGTTTCCTTTCTGTACTACAGTGGCCAACTTTTGGTTTTCTGCCACCTTCCTATGACACTGTTCAAAACATCTCACTGAGAAATGTAGAACTACCACCACACTGAAACAATAATCGCTGGGCAAATGTATGGTGCGGATTTCTGCAGCTGTGTCAGGGATAACTGGGAAATCAAAATGCAACTTTTTAATCTGGTTTTAAATACCCCAGATACACAGGTCAATGGAATAGGTGGGGGGACGGGGGACGACAAAGAATTCAAAGACAGGCCAATCTGGCACTATTCATGGCACCAGGATAGCCAACTATGGAATACTGTATGCCATGGAATACTCTGAACTTCCTTCCTCTGCAAGGAAGCCACGAAGGCATACTTTTTGCTGATCGGTGTGATTCTAGTTCAGAAAGATCAAGATGGGAATATATGTCAGTCTGTCTGTAGCATTAGAAAACAGCAAGTGTCCAGTAGCACCTTGAAGACCAACAAAATTTGTGGCAGGGGATGAGCTTCTGTGAAGGAGTGAGCAGTGACTCTTTAAGGTGCTACTGGACTCTTGCTCTTTTCTCGGAAAGGATATTACTACTGGAAAGCATCAGACACACTGCGATCAGCTCTCTAGGAAAAGAGCTGAATTCACTGACTTCAGAGTATCTCGCTACACATTGTTCTTTTGATCTGGCATCTTTTGTAAAAGGAGAACACATACAAGATTCTGTCCTCACATTGTGCAAGAAGGTGTTTTCTAGCTGGAACATTTAAAATACCAAATTCTCCGGACATTTTCCATGTGGCTAGTATCAATCAGTTGTGGTGTAAATACAATTCATCCAGCAAAGCCCTGCTGTACAGCTGTATAACATGTACTTATGATGCAGCCTTACACCGAGCGAGTCCATCAATACTGTCTTATCCTGATGTTGGCAGCTCGGCAGGGTCTCAAGCAGGGGGAGGTTTTTCCTAACACTTGCTAACTGGTGACTCTTTCAGTGGAGATCAGAGAGTGAGCCTGGGACTTTCTGCATGCAAAGTTTATACCCCACCTCACCACAGAGCCACCCACAGTTCCTCCCCTTAGACATGTCCATAGCCTTCACCAGAAAAAAAAAATCCACTTTTTGGAATGAAAAGGAAACACTAATTATATAATGTGGCAAATTGTACCTGCTGCAAACGATTGAAATAGCCACCAAGGAGACAATAAAGACAACTCCTGCAGCTGCAGACCCAGCAATCAATGGCAGTTGCTCTCTCAGTTCTGACTTGTAGTCATCTGGAAAAGAACAAGAAATTTTTGTAATCTTCCTGCCTGCTTTTATTTATTTATTTATTCAATTTATACCCCGCCCTCCCTGCCAAAGCAGGCTCAGGGTGGCTTATAGGAGCTCCCACCACTAATTGTACTTCTCTACTATATATATATATCCTCCGGTATATATAATTCTATTTTGGTCATGGACTCCCCTGAACATTCCAACACGCTCCAAAATCAGTTCGCTCTCTGATCTGTCATTCAGAGGGTCTCCCTATCCACTGGCTGCTTTGCCTGAGTCCTGCCTCCAAAATTCTAAACAGTTTGCTGTTCCTCTCCCCCCACAGCCAATCAGAACACAGAGGTCATTTGCATATGTGGCCTGATTTGCCTTTGCCTCGGAACACAGAGGTCGTTTGCATATGCAACCTCACTGGCCTTTCCCTCTAACATTCTTAACAGTTTGCTGTTGATGTTCTGAGGTAAAATAAATTTCCCCTTAGTGTCTGTTGGGGGAAACCATGGTTGCAAATCTCCAGGTGAGGGCTAAAGATCACTCAGAATTACAACTGCTTTCCAGATGGCAGAGATCAGTTCCCCTGGAGAAAATGGTGGACTCTGTGTCCTTATATCCTGCTGAGATGGCCCCTGTATGACAGCCAATGTGACGTAGCAGTCAGGGCTTCAGAGCACGAAACTGATGTCCAGATGACCCAGATCAGTTCTCTTGGAGACAATGGCTGCTTTGGGCAGTAGATTCTATGGCATTATACCCTGCTGAGGTCCCTCCCCACCCAAAATCCTGCCCTCCCCAGGCTCTACCCCTCAAATCTACAGGTATTTCCCAACCCAGAGTTGGCAACCGTGTAATCAGCTATTCTGCATAACACCCCCCTCCCCCTCAAAAGATAAGTCAGAGGTGGAGAGAACCATATCTGTTACCATGAGGCTGTCCTCCCATTCTACCCACTTGGGGCAGCAAAATGACTTGAGACAGCCCTGCCTTATAGCTAAGCAGAAGGAAAGAAACATGGCTTGCCTCCCTCCATTTTCCGCTTCCCTCTGCCGCCCCACCAGCTACAGTCGGGACACTCATCTGGAGCTTCCTTCTAGATCTCGTTGTATTTTCCCCCACAATGGGCATTACTCCTAGTGTGTGTGTGTGTGTGTGTGTGTGTGTGTGTGTGCTAAATTTGCACTCCATTATTTCCCCCAGAAGCTCAAAATGGCATAGATTGGATTATCCATTTTTAATTTCTCATTGGTGAAGTAGGTTAAGTTGAGAAATGGTGATTCCCCCCCCCCAAATCACCCAGTGAGTTTCATGGTGCAGCAGGGATTTAAATCTAGGTTCCCTAGTCCAAAGGCAACACTCCATCATCTTACAGACAGTTTCTGTCATTTCTGGAAAGAACTTTGCAGTTACTTTACTTTATTATTATTATTATTACAGTCACTAGACCATTTTAGAAACTTTGCAGTTTAAGCCTCAGAAATACTTAACATCTGATGACAACCCCACATCATCAGTTCATCCCAGAGAGTCAGAGAACCCAGAGAAATGCTGGAGTCCTGCAGAAGTTAATGGGACTGAGGTCCACACTAGATGTTACGGGTGACACAAGTTGGGACGTGGGGGCATTTCCTGACTTGCTGTCACACCTAAAAACTGTATAGGGTTGGGGTACAATGCCACAGAGTCCACCCTCCAAAGCATCCATTTTCTTCAAGGGAATTGATCTCTGTAGTCTAGAGATGAGCCGTAATTCCAGGGGATCCCACAGGTCCCAACTGGAGGCTAGCATCTTACTCGTGTCACACGTAATGGTTAGTTTGACCCTGAACTATACAGAAGGAATAAAGCCTTATTTATTTATTGAGGACTTAAGCATGCCTAACATTTATTATTAATAACAACAACAATAACAGTAACATTTATATCCTGCCTTTCTGCACTTACAAGGGCCGCCAAAGCAGCTAACAACTTAAAACACAGAAAATAAAATAAAATTATAAAACCATTAAAATCAACTCTCCTTCCAAACACACCTCATTAAAATGATTTTTAAAAGAGTTCAAAAGTAGAGCTGAAATACATCTAGAACAGTTAAAATACATACAAAACATAAAACATGGGTTAGGAAGGAGGGATCACTGAGGGAATGCCAAAAGACACAAAAAAGTCTCCCACCCACAGTCAGACTGTGGCAACAGAAAGGGACAGACAAATCTCCTGTTATGTATTGGGATTGAATCATCCCTGATTTAATCACCCTAGAGACTGGCTGAGCTTGGAGCACAAGAACAATAGCCGACCAGGACTCTGGAATAAACCAATCAAGTAGAAATGTTTTGGAAATAGCCTATCACGGGGAGTGGGTATGTGTGGGATGGGGTGTTTTGCATGCATATAAGCAGGGCTCCAGCCCTGTTAGAGTTGTTTTAGAGTTAAGATGAAATCACAAATAAACGATGAGCTGATCACTATACATGTCTCGAACCCAGTATATTTCACCTCCCCAGGGAGAGAGTTCCAGAGCTTTGGTGCTATGATCTAGACAGCCTTCTGCTGGGTTGCCACCTGCCTAATCTCAGAAACTGGGGCACCCAAAGCAGAGTCGTTCGGGTATGTTGGTTCCAGACCACATAGGGCTTTGAAGGTCAAGACCAGCACTTGAATTGTGCCTGGAAACAAATGGGAAGCCAGTGTAAGTGGGCTGACTGGAGTGATATGGTCTGTACAGCCCACTCCAGTCAACATCCTGACTGCAGCATTGTACCAATTGAACTTTCTGAACATTTCCAAGGGCAACCCCATGTAGAGCGCATTGCAGTAATCTAATCTAGATGTAACCAGGGCATGCACCACAGTGACCAGATCTTTTCTGTACAGGAAAGGCCACAGCTGGCTAACCAGTCAAAGCTGGTGAAAGGCACTCCTGGCCACAGCTGCCACCTGCTTATCCAGCAGTAGGCCCGGGTCCAAGAACACCGCCAGACTATGGACCTGTTTCTTCAAGGGGGATGCAACCCCTTCCAGAATGAGTGACACCATAAATCCCAGGTCAGACCTTCCACTCACCAGTACCACTTCCATCATGTCAGGATTAAGCTTCAGTTTAATAGCCTGAAACCAGACTGGAAGGGATCTAAACAACTTGCCTCATCCAGAAGGCTTGGAGTTGTCCAGCCACACCCTGTTCAATAACCTTGCTCTAGAATGAAATATCTGAGACTATTCAATAGTTACTGAGATCTCCTAGGTCAAGGGTAGGCTTCCTTATAAGTGGATGTACCACAGCCTGTTTCTAGGCTGGAGTGACCACTCCTCCTCTTAAGGAACCATTAACTACTCCTTGAATCCAGTCAACCAGTGCTCCCACCAGTGTTCCCTCTAAGCTGAGTTAGTGTGAGTTGGCTCACAGTTTTTTAGCCTCCATCTCACACATTTTTGTCTTAGTTCAGGAAGGGTGGCTCCAGAGCAAACTAATTTATGCAGAAGCCAAATGGCTCGCTCACAACTTTAATGCCAGTAGCTCACAAAGTAGAATTTTTGCTCACAAAACTCCACAGCTTAGAGGGAACATTGGCTCCCACCCCCTGTGGAAAATTTAAGTAACCAGGAAGAAGAAGAAGAAGAGGAGGAGGAGACTGGATTTATACCCCACCCTTCACTCGAAGTCTAGGAGTGGCTTACAATGACCTTCCCTTCTTCTCCCCACAACAGACACCCTGTGAAGTAGGTGGAGATGAGAGAGCTCTGAGAGAACTGATCTTGAAAGAACAGCTCTGAGAGAACTGTGACTGAACCAGGCATCAACAGCAGCACCGACCACATCAACAAGGAAATAACCTAGAGCCATCAGAAAGCCATTCAGATCCATCTGGCTCTGGGGGCAGATAATCTTAATAGCCCCCCCACCTCTGGGGGCCTGTAGGATATTCAGAGAGGTAACTGAATAAAGCCTGCCCCCACCTCCTGCCTCTGATATTTCAAGGAAGTCTCCCATCCAAGTAGTTACCAGAGCTAACCCTGCTTAGCTTTTGAGATCTGACAAGATCGGGTCTGTCTGGGCACCCTCTGGTTTCCTTGATAAGCTGTTCAGATATAGGACCCTCTGTCTTTGTATATGTACAGTTTCTGTGACAATGCATCTGTTGACAGCATTAGATAAAAATAATAATTTTATTAACATTCTGAGACTCTGCCAGTAATGGCCAACAGTGACACATAGCACACGCACCACAGGCTTAAAATAAATGCATACAGATAGAACTATCTCACACCTATTTTTAATTTTCTTGTTCCCTTTTTGCAGCTAATTGTTGGTAATCTGCTTTATCTCCTCCTTGATGCTTAAATCCTGAGAAAATTCTCATCTAACAATCAATTATTATTTAATAATGCACAGTATCCATTCTTGTTAGATTTCAATTAGCTGCTTGTGTCTGACAGAGTTTTTCTCCTGGTCTTGTAATTGTAAGTATTAGAAAAATTCATTTTTTGAAAATACCCATCTATTCAGTCATACAGTGCTTGTGCATGCATGCTTCCCATTTCTTTATTCAATTATAAAACTTTGACATTAGATGAGGAATGTATTGAAAAAAATCGTCTTTGTAAGGCCTTCACATAGTCTCCTGGTTAAAGTGTTCCATGGAAGAAGCCTCTCAGAAAGAAGAGAAGAAGAGATTGGATTTAGACTCCACCCTTTACCACCCAAAGGTGTCTCAGAGTGGCTTACAAACTCCTTTCCCTTCCCCTCCTCACAACAGACACCCTGTGAGGTAGGTGGGGCTGAGAGAGCTCTTGACAGAAACTGCTCTTTTTCAAGAACAGCTCTTATCAGAGCTACGGCTTGCCCAAGGCCATCCAGACAGGTACAAGTGGAAGAGTGGGGAATCAAACCCAGTTCTCCCAGATTAGAGTCCGCGCACTTAACCACTACACCAAACTGGCTCTCAGAAAGGGGGGGGGGAGATATCAAACCAAAACTAGTGTAGGAAATTAATACAGATTATTTTTATACTGTATTTACCTGAAAGGAAGATGACCCTGAATGTAAGATGGTCCCCATAATAAAATGTTATACACAAAACATTTTTTATTACAGTACACACTTGGATGCATATGTAAGATGAATTTCTTTTTCTTGATGGCACATCTGGAGGAAAAACCTATTCCTTTTAGGTAAGTTTAGTAATAATTGAACTGGTGTCTATTAAATATCGTGAATTTGGGAGGGCCAATTAACAGCCACTCACATAGCCCCTTTGGTGGACTTGTTTCAGATTTGGGTTGCTCTGATTTTGGTCAGCGCAGTTTGAACAACTTTACAGTGACTGGTTGCATAAATAGGGCTGTACATGGCTTACACACACAGGCTGTATGCCAGTGGTAGGCTGGACATACATCTGCAAGGGCAGGAATATCAGGCACAGTCCAGCTCCCTTCCTGATGCAAGTTGCCCATATACAATTACCTCATGTTTGTGGGCCTAGAGTCAGGCATGGTTTGAAAGAAGTCTAGAAAGATAATATTTTCTTAAGAATGTGGCAAACTCTGACCACCCTCTGCCTATCCCCCCCTCCCCATAGTAGGCTCAAGATTCCTGTGTCAGCCTGTTCGTTTGCGTGTCTGGCTTCTTAGTGTTTCTGCGTGCAATCAAGCCCTGCACCATGTTTCAAGCAAGATATGCAGTTAACTCTAGATCAGTGCCCTCATAAGATCACAGGAATTAAAGAAAATCGTAGGTGAGATTGCAATCATGAACAATAATGTTCTTAAATATAAACTAATTAGTAGCAATGACAGGGCCCTGGATTTTCACATGTAGTGCGTTTATTTATCTATTTATAATTTGGATTTATGAATCACCCAATCCCTGAGTATTCAAAGCTCTGAGCAATAAACAACAATAGAAATACAAACCATAATAAAAACACATATAATGAAACACTTGTTAAACCCATTTTTCAAATGGCGCTAGTACATTGGATTTCAGACTATGTCATCACCTTGCAGGAGAGGTAGGGAGAAAGCACAGAAGGGGGGGGGGGGGGAATGCCAGCCAAGATGGTGCCCATCACTTTCTTCAACCAAAAGCCTGGAGGAACATCTCTTCCTTGCAGGCCCTGCAGAACTTCATGAGGTCCCACAGGGCACGGATGTTATTTGGCAGAGAGTTCCACCAGGTGGGAGCCAGGGCTGAGAAAGCCCTGGCTCTGGTCAAGAACAGCTGGATGTCTTTCATGCCAGGGATCACCAATAAGATCTTCTCAGCAGAGTGTATGGGGGACACACCAGAGGAGGTGATCCCGAAGATACATGGGTCCCAGGCTGCCCAAGGCTTTAAAAGTCAAGACCAAAACCTTGAATCTGACCCAGTACTCCACTGGGAGCCAGTGTAGCTGATGCAGCACAGGTTGTATGCAGGGATCATTTAATAGAAAAAGAGCTGCAGGAGCTCATTAGCATATCCTAATAGGCTGTTAGCCTAATACCTCATTAGCATATACCACACCCCCTGACATCACCGGAAGTGATGTCAGAAGGGGAAGCAAAAAGGGGGGGAGGCATCTTCAAAAGCCTCTCCTTCCCTTCCCCAGGTGGGCTGGAGGGGGGAAGCGAAGAGAGAAGGTGTTTAAAGTTTAAACCCCTTCTCTCTAGAGTTGTGCTGCAGCGGCGGTGCGATCTTTCCATTATATTCTATGGGGCCATAGAATACAATGGAAAACTCATGCCGCAGTGGCGGCACGACTCTAGAGAGAAGGAGCTTGGGCGCAGGGCTTGCTTCCACCACCATCTGTGCTCACTCCTGGGCTGCCGGAGCAGTGCTCGGGTGCTCCGGCCCCAAATGACCCCTGGTTGTATGTGTGCTGCCTGTGACATTCCCATCAGGACTTGCACTGCCGAATTCTGGATCAGCTGGAGTTTCAGGATCAGTAGGCCAGTGTAAAGCAAGTGACACTAATCCAATCTGGAGGTGACCATTGCATGGATTACTGTGGCTAGGTTGAAGCGAGACAGGAAAAGGTCCAGTTTCCACGATTGGCGCAGGTGGAAAAATGCCAGCTTGGCAACGTTCATGATCTGGGCCTCCATAGATAAGGAGGTATCCAAGACCACACCCAAGCTCCTGATGGTTTATGCCAGTAACAATGGCACACTGTCAAGAGTGGGCAGTTGGTGCCCCGGTCCTGAATCTCCTCCCCCTCCCCACCACAGAACCTCCATCTTAACTAGATTCAGTCTCAGCTGGCTCTTTCTTAGCCATCCCACCATGGCCACTAGACCCTCAGCCAGGTTATGTGGGGCAGTATCTGGAAAGCCACCCATTAACAGATATAGCTGAGGTGATACTCCAGCCCGAAACTCCATGCCAGCTAGGTGAGGGGGCACATTGGAGAGAGGACTGCCCCCTGAGGGACCCCATATGTTAGCTGACACCCTCTCCCCTAGCGCTAACCTATGAGGTAAGCCACTTTAAGGATACCCCATGAACTCCTACATCGGCAAGGCAGTGGGTCAAAAGATTGTGGTCGACCACGTTGAACACTGCAGTGAGATCAAATAACAACAGCAGTGCTAACCCGCCTAGATCCAGCTGTCTGCAGAGATCCATAAGGGTGACCAGCACCATCTCCAACCCATGGCCAGAGTGAAAACTGAACTGGAATGGGTCCAGTGCCGATGTGTCATCCAGGAATCTCTGGAGCTGCTCGGCTACCACTCTCTCAATTACCTTACCCAGAAATGACAGATGCAAGACTGGTTGGTCACTGGAGGGATCTGTAGGATCCAGTGATGGTTTTTTTCAAGAACAGTACCACCTCAGCCTCTTTCAATCCTTCTGGGTAGACTCCCAACTCCAGGGACAGATTGATTATGTCTACCAGCAGGCCCCATATCCTCTTACCACTGTCTTATACCAGCCATGAGGGACACATATCTAAGAGGCATGTGGTTGGCCTAACGGCATGCAAAATCCTGTCTACATTGGCACAGGAAAGCTGGCTGAAGTTATCAAATACTAAGTCCAAAGGTGGCCAAGGGGCTTCCAGTTCACATACTGTATCAACATTGGTGGGTAGGTCATGGCGGAGTGACAAGACTTTGCCTTTCTAAACTGTAGTTTAGTAGAAGTTGGGAATGGTTCACTACACTACACTTGAGTAAAAATTCTCTGTACCATTCAATAGCAGCTATTCTTCGAGTCTGGACTCAATGGATCACCATGCTGGCCCAGAGAGTCCATTGAGCCTCTATATCTCCTCAGTTTGCATGCAAACACTGAGCCTATTCATATGCAGAAAGCAAAACATTTTAAAAAGAATCACTTAGATGCTCAGGGAGAAAACAGAGATAGGAGATTTCAACCAGATTAGTCCTCCAGCTGGCAATTAATCAAACATCTCTGTAAATCACCTGGCTCTCGCCACGCTACCCCACTGGGAGGTGAGGGTTTGGAGAGACAAGTTGATTTAATCCAATTACTGCTTGGAGGTTTGAGGGAAAAGTGCAACCTCCTTCCTTCTCTCAATCAGCTTCCATCCCCCACTCTTCCATCTCTTTTTCTCACACACTCACCATCTGTCAGAGTTTGGAAGCACATTTTCCCACTGTATTTCCCATAGCCAGCCACCGTCCGAGCCCGCACCTGTACCACATACACCATCCCTGGCCTCAGCCCATCGATCCGTGCTGTGTTGGTCTGGCTCTTGGCCATGGAGGAGTTGTACTCACTGTGGTCCTTCAGGGAACAGCAAAGAAAGACAAAGTATTAATAAAAATGAAGGAAACAACATTGCTTCCATCACTACTCTGTGTTGGCAAGTCATTAAAGTTGCAGTGGCTATGCAGAACAATGATGCATTCCTTCCAGGGAGCATGCAAGTGAAGCTCTTTTCACAAGCTTCCTGTTTAGCTTGATGCATGAGATGGAGGAGCATGATGATTGGTAACTACACTGTTTCATTACCTAGTCAGTATTGCAAAGATTCCGTATCGGCAAAAGGGGAGGAAGGGCTGGTGCAGTTGGGGCTTTTATGCAGAATCAAAGAGCACCTCAACTATATTTTCACCTATTTGCAATTCTCCCTTCAGAACTTTTTCCCCGGTAACAAACATATGATGTAACCTTCCCATGTAATCAAAAAAAGAAGCTAGTCATGTTGATAGCCTCCGTTTCAAAAATAAACACGGATAAATGAACGCAAAGGGAAGCTTCTGGTCCCTAAACAATTAAAAATAAGATGCAGATAAATCAAAAGCTTCACTAAAAAGGAACACAGCAGCAAATGACTAGGCCTGCTGCTATATACCACATAAAAAAAAAATAACTGGATGAGCATTTTTGTTCTGGTGGTCTATAGGGGAGCAAAAGTTCTCCAAATAGCAAAGAAGAATAAAAACATTAATTCACCAAATATAGTGCCAGCCTTTGAGGAAAAGAATCATGTCACATTTGTTTGATTGTATCATTAAAGGTTGCCAACAGATGCCTGAGACACTTGTACAACCACATTCCGCATTACATTTGCAACAGCAGTGAATGTTTTGGCTGGGGGATGATACAGACTATTGCATCGTGAGTGTTCAGAAAATGTGATATCCCTGCAACCAAAGTGCCCCCTAGAGTGAAAATGTATACTGTCTACAGCAAAGGAGTAACACATGTACATTTACAGTACAATCCTAAACAGACTTACACTCTGCTAAGCCCACTGACTCTGATCAGGATTACACTGTTGGTATACAAAAAATATGACTGTATAGAAAGGCTTTTAGTTGCAGAATGATAAGTTCAGTATTCAGGGCATATGGATTCTGGCTGGCCTACTACCTTTCCTAAAGGGCAGCAGAAGCAAAACTGAGCACGAATTCACGTACACAAGTTTACCACTTGAGATCATACAATACAAAGTGAAGACATGCGTGTGTAAAACAGCCATCACAAATTAAATGCAGCAGACAGAGCTTTCATATCACCTAACATCCCAAGATGGTATTTTTCACAGGATGCAGTTCACACTTTGGGCTGTGAGTCATCAAGTGATGAGTTATTGAGATGATCAAATGCATGTGTGAATTGGCCCAGTGGCCTGCAAATACAGCCATCCCAATAGCACTCTCACATTCCTTATTTTTCATTCAGCCTACACTGCACTCTATATCAAGATACAATGATAAAAATAGGAGATAGGGGTCTGGGGTTATTTCAGTGCAAGAACTGAAATATTAATTGGGGGTATGCATGGGCATTTGTGTTCTAAATAGTTTATCATTTCATTAGCAAATGTTCTGTACCTCTCTTGAAAATGGTGCCATGAGCTGCCTACCAAAAAGCCCTTTAGACGATTTTGCTGCTTGGATTTGCTACTGAAAATGTAGGTTTTGACCCAAAAACTCAACGTCAACATTTAACATGTCATCAAATTGTCCTTTCATTCTCTGACCGTCACCTCAACTCTGCTATGATAAGGGAGGGGAACTATAAATAAAATTCCAGTTACAACAGCCCACTCCAATGTTCTGACACAATGAAGGCTGCATCGGGCATATGAGCCATCACGGTCTATTGTCTGCGTGACAACAAGGAAGCCTGAAGAAACAATGCAACTCTATCCAGTTTTTTGGCCTGCAGATTGTCATATACCATTTCTTACACTTCAATTTTCAGACAGTCATTTGACAGAGAGAAAATCGAAGGTAACTATCAGTTGCCCAAGGTTACTGTAGTACCAACTGCTTGAATTTAGGATTCCCTGACGTCTAAGTCCTACTGGGTAGACCAGCATCGCAATGAGTACCAACAAACCACAGACAACTGCAGTACTGGAGATCAAATCCTATGAGGAAAGGTCGAAGGACCTGGGTATGTTTCACCTGGAGATGAGAAAACTGAGAGGTGATATGATAACCATCTTCAAGTACCTAAAGGGCTGTCATGTAGAAGATAGTATGGAGTTTTTTCTGTTGCCCAGAACCAACGGGTTGAAATTAAATCAAAAGAGCTTTCGGCTAAATATTAGGAAGAACTTCCTAACAGTTGCAGCAGTTCCTCAGTGGAACAGGCTTCCTTGGGAGGTGGTGGGCTCTCCTTCTTTGGAGGTTTTCAGAGGCTAGATGGCCATCTGTTAGCAATGCTGATTCTGTGAACTTAGGCAGATCATGAGAGGGAGGGCAGGAAGGGTTGCATCAGTGCTTAGTTCTTGTGGCCCTTCTTACGTGCCCAGGGAAATGCTGATCACCACTTTGGGGTCAGGTAGCAATTTTTCTCCAGGCCAATTTGGCTGGAGATCCTGGAGGATTTTTGTCATCTTCTGGGCATGGAACAGAAACTGGGGAGTGGGGGGGGGGGTGATATTTCTGAATTTCCTGCATTGTGCAGGGGATTGGACTAGATGACCCTGGAGGTCCCTTCCAACTCTATGATTCTATGATTTCCCCATATGTATCCATTTTTAACACAAACCTTTCTGGCTACCATTAGCGTCTCTTGCTACAATACATGTATGTTGGTCTTCCCATAGTCCATATGCTCTGTATCCCCACAGCATTCAGATATATTGGAAACTAAGGATTAATACAAATATGACAATACAAAGAGGTACCTCCTGCTGGCCTCCCATATCTGCGTAGGCACATCTGCAGTGATAACCAATGCCAAGCATGGGCAACAAGTCTGTACAGTCACATTGCAATTGACACTTCCTTCTTGAAATTTGGCATTTGCTATCACTCACACTGTACCCCAGGGAGTCATGGGCAGAACTAGCTCTTAGCCTCAGCTACTGCAGTCTATGTTGGGTTCAATCTACCAGACTCTTACAAGATAATGAAACAGGGGGCATCTCTGGCTTTAGGAAGATATTACAGACACAGGAGAGTAGATCAGAGTGGACAAAGTGTTTGCTATATGTCACCAAAGCTACCTCTGTCTGCAGGCTGCCACTTCTAGGAAGCTATTGACTGCCAGAAACAATAACGCACAAATATGAGGAAATGAAACAAGTACACACAGCAGGCAAGCAGGAACCAATGGGGAGTCCCTGGCTTCAGTTAACTGTTATTTTCAACATTTTCTAAAACAACATGGCAGAAAGGTTCAGAGAAGTGTGGCACAGGAAGGCCCTCTCTGCCACAACTATATGAGCCACACAATCAAAAAGTAATGGGACTAAAGAGGACAGATAAAGTGGGGCTCTGGGTTCCCTGGCAGCAATAGTAGAATATAGTGACATGCATGGAGTTAAGCACCACTGAAGGCTGTTATTAATACATCTCCCAAGGGAATTCTGTTCCAGGCACCACCATATGGCTAGATGGTGCAGAACCCTGAATGAACCAGTCCACAGGAGAGAAAAGTATCTGAGGCTTTTATTTTGACAGAATGCACACTCAACAGGAAAAAATGCCTTGTAGGGTGAACAAGAAGAATCCTGTGGTGTGATAAATCTGTATGGCAATGTAATCTAGCTGAAATCAGAGAAAGTCAATAAAAAGAGTAACTAACTCCATTTTACCCACCTTAGTGTTCAAAGGAAGGCTACAAGTGTAATTGGTATAGATTTTGGGGGAAAAAAACATTTGGACTCTGCTAAGGAAGGTCCCTGGCTCAAATCTCATTGCAATCATTGGGTGCCTCCCCATTGACTTCAACCAGGTTTTGAATCAAGCCAGTACTAAACATTCCACAACACAATGGAAAACAGCAATGAGCTTCAGACTCCCAAGTCATGCTCCAGCCCAATTCCCTCAAATACATTCAGGCTTACGGTGGCTGGTCTTGAGCCCATAGTACTGCTAATCTCGGGGATGCAGATCCGGCTCACCTTCTCGTAGTAACGGATCTCATAGTCCAGGATGATGCCATTGGGCTGTTCCGGCTGAGGCCACGACAGTGTGATGCTCCTCATGGTGGCACTTACCTGGTGCATGATGGGAACTGTGGAGGGAGCTATGGAGAAAGGAGGGAACAGGAAGTGCAAGAAAAGTGAAAATTAACTCAGGAAGAAGGGGTAAGAATACGCTGGTTAAAATAAAACACTGGGATAGAAGTAGGGGGAAGAAGGGGGCAGTGAGGGTAAGGGAGGAGAATGAATATTACATAAAATAATACAACTCTACAAAACAGCTAACAGTATATCAACAAACAAGATGATTTATTTCCATACTACAACAATAAGACAATGCTCATACTTCCTTGTAAACTGGTGCCAAACCTACAACTGAAATTACCACAACACAGACTAGTAAGAAATTGGTAGACAGGACAAGGTGGTAGTTATTGTTAGAGCTCCTAAATGGACTTTGAGCAGCAATGTCTCCTACAGAAGTCCTGCTGAGTTGAACCAAAGTGGCACAAGAACATACTTTAACTTCCATTTGTTTCAGTAATAATTACACAGGATACATTC